AACAACAACAACAACAACAGTAATAATATACTATTTTCCAGAAGACTAGTATTTTGTCTTCTAATATCATCATTATTGTGATAAATAAACTAGTGATTATAATGTCCCTTTTTAGCTCCATAAATTAGTACTGAGTTTGATACTTGTTTTACCAAGAAATATTTATTGATATTATTATGAAATATGGACACAGTTGATCTATATTTCTAAAGAATCATTTTCTGATTTCTGGATCTGATGATATATATCTAATGTCCACTCTTATTTTCTTTCACAGATATAATTTTAAACATTTTCATAAAATAGTCTTATAATAATAGCTGTGTTATTTTTCCATGTTACTGAGAACTTCACATACCACCAGTGAAATAATTTTGTTGAAATATGACCAATAATAATTTGGTCCAATTTTGTCTTTCCATAAAGTGAATTGAGAAACAACCCATAGCTGATCCTAAAGGGGTTTTCAGAAGATACATAAATTCCTCAGAGCAGTTGGTGGATTCAAACTACTTGCCTTTGGGTTGGCAGCACAACTCTTTACACACTAAGCCACCAGAAGTCCTTTATTTGTTTGAATCATGGTAGTGATTTTAGTTCATGATAGGATCATCCAGCTTAACCTGCTTTTTGTTATTGTAAGATATATGACATTATATTGTGGGAATGGTGGGTTAGTAGCTTATAATTAAAGCTTTTGTCCTAGGTTACATGAAGACCACCTAAGTGACTAAAATATACTTGCTTCTGTGTGCTTCAGTTTCGTTTTCTCACATTTTAAAATGAGATCTCTGCCCCAGGTCCCTCCTGCATTGGGACAATTAAGCATTTCTCTTTCATTTAAAAAAAAGAAAATGATTAATTACAAGGGTTACTGTAATTATTTTGAAAATAAATGTCAGATTTTCTATTTATCTGTAAGTATATTTCCAACAATACTTTATTTCAGACATTAAATCATTTAATAAAAATGAACAAATTTTAAAAGCTACTCTTTATTGCACATTTACAATAAATTTTACAGCTTTCTAGTTGAACAAATTACTAAACTAATTACTTTTTGGACATGCATTCCTCTTTGAGATTACTGAAAGTAAGTCAATTATATATTTCTTCAGGTGATTAATCTTCAAATTCTGAAAGTATTAATATATTTCCCTAAGCATCTATTGGTGGGGGTTAGTTTTGTATTGTTTTTTTAAAATTTATTTATATTAGCTTGATTGTAACAATAAAAATTGTTTCACTAAAGTTATTAATAGATGTATACAAAACAGTTATCTACTTGTCTTGGTAATAGAAGGGGACACACATAGAGGTAATTGGAAACCAAATCAAATATACCCTGTTCGATCAGTTCCCAGAGAATATGGTTTATCTTTAATGTATATTCTTTGCCTGAGAATAGGTAGTGATTGATGAAATATCTTATTAATAAAGAGTCTCTCTACCCAGATTGTCATTTCATTTTACATTTTTTATCACTTTCTAATGGAGGAAAAACTTCAATATTTACAATAAAATATAAAATAGTACTGCAAAATTGGAGCCCCCAAATCCAAAACCAAGGACTAAGAAATTAATAGTCATTGCTGCTTAGTGCTGAATAGATTAGCTCTTAAATAAAGATTAGCTTGTTACATGGAAAAACAATAATAAATAAGTCCGTTATTCACAAGCTTTCTATAAACGCCAACAATTTATACAAGGCAACATTATAAAAACTTCAAAGCACATTTTAAAAAAGGTTTAAGTAAATGTTATTTACAGTATATAGGATTTATGATTAGTTAGCTTTATTAAGTATGAAAATTCCTAAAACGGAAAGAAAAAATAGCAAAGAAAGCAGAAAACAATGAATCCAATGATCCAGTTTACTGAGTAAATATAGATGATCACCATATCCATGTCAAACCACCATCCACGGCTATCATCCTCAAAGTGCAGATAATCCATTCTGTGTGCACCGTGTGGAAACTGCCTTCTTGTAACAGGAGCTGCACGCCGACGGAAACCTAGAAGAAGCAGAAACCTATTTTAAAGCTTACTCTCAGATAGGAAGTCTCATACATACAGGCACCATTAACAAAATATACCTTCATTTACTAAACAATATACTGTATTCCTCTGTTCCTCACTTTAAAAAAAATGATGATTGGCTATTATAAGTCTCTTATTAAAGTGTTCAAGGGCAGAAGAAGAAAATTTAGCAAGGAATATGGAATTGGGAAATCATACCAATTCTGTAACTCTGCCAAGGTAAGTTATTTAGTTATTTGACATTTTTTAGTTTCAATTTTCAATTATAAACTACTCAGTCTATAATTAACGTGCCCTGGTGGTGAACAGGCTGTTAACTTAAAGGTCTCAGTTTGAGCCAACTGGCTCGTCTCAGGAGAAGGGTGGGTAGAATCTTCCCTTCTGCCTCGGATACCTAGGAAAGTATTGTGTGGAGGGAGTGAGGACCAACTTGACAGGGGTCTGGGTATATGCTTGTAATTTTAAATAATAAATACTGAATTCTCAGAAAAATAAAATGTAATACTTTTCACATAAGGGCATTTCCTAAATTTAATCTTTAATTATGCTTTATTTTACAGTTATAGTGACTATAACTTCTGATTATTAACTTAATCCTCTCCCTTCTACCTTGAGGAGTTCTTTCCATCAAGCTTTATGAGCCAAAGTGTATGAGAAAATATCTCATTTTGTGCCAGAGGTGAAGAAACTACATATACATAATGACATTCCTTTCAAGTAATTTAGTTTTAATTTTAATACATTTCACTGCATGACATTACTTAAGAGAATTGCTGGTACATAAAGAATGAATTTCAAAAGTAAACTGTAGTCCATCTGTTATTAAATTAACATAACACTGCTGAGTTATATTACATTTCATTGTAAAAATTGCTTTGAGTTTTTTGGAGGCTTTAGGACTTAAATATAACTTGCCAATGTTGTTGTTTTACATGCTATCAAGTCAAGTAAGACTCATAGTGACCCAATGAACAACAGACCTGAAACCTGACCTGTGCTGTGCCATCCTTATCATCTGACATACCTAGAGCCCACTGCTGCAGTCACTGTGTCAGTCCATCTTGATAGGGATCTCTCTTTCTTTTGCTGAACCTCCACCTTTCCAAGCATGATGTCCCTTTCCAGGGAATATCCTCTCCTAGCAACATGCTCAAAATATGTAAAACAAAGTTTCACCATCCTTTCCTCCAAGGAGCATTCTGGCTTCACTTTTTCCAAGTCTTATATGTTTGTTCTTTTGGTAGTCCATAGGATATTCAGTATTATCTCTAACACCACAGCTTAAAGGATTCATTTCTTCTTCTGTCATTCTTATTCACTACCCAGCTCTCATATGCAAAGCAAGTGACTGAAAAGATTAGGCCTGTATCAGACACACCTTACTCTTCAAACAAACATTATTGCTCCTCAGGAATCTGGAAACATTCCTGCTACCAGACTTTCCCAATGCAATACGTCTCCTGATCTCCTGACTGCTGGTACCAAGTGTGCTTACTGTAGTTTCAAGTAAGATGAATGCACTGACAATTCAAATCAGTTATCCATCTATCATGATGTTGCTTATTGGTCAAATGGTGAAGATTTTTGTCCTCTTGATGTTAAGAAACAATCTATATTGAAGACTACTCTTTGATTTTCTGCAGCAAGCATTTCAAGTCCTTATTTTCAGCAAGCAAGGTTAGCGAGTGGCAAACAGTTTGTACTGGCTATCTAGTATACAATTTCAAGGCACTTAAAAACCAAAATTAAGTTTTTCTAAAAAATTTTTAACTTGATTTTTATTTAAGATTGAGTGTCTTTGCACTTATTAGTGTTAAGGACCAAGGACAATATAATGAACTGGACAAAAAGATGGAATTCTGGTTTCTGATAATAATTTTGATGATATATCACCTGCTTTGTATTTGAAAGTTTCACAGTGATTAAGGATGACAGAAGAATCTATGTCATTGCACTGTGGTACTGCAGAAGAATGCTCAATGTCCCAGGACTGCTTGGTTTGCACAACAGCTTCTTAGTCTAGGTATAGGTCTCACATGAGCACAATTACGTGTTCTGGGATTCCCATTCTTCAATGTTAGCGACAATTTTTTATGATCCACACAGTTCACTATCTTTGCACAGTCAATAACACACAAATACACTTTCTCCTGGCATTCTTTACTTTCAGCCATAATCAGCAATAATATCCCTAGTGTCATATCTTCTAAATCCAGCTTGAACTGGATAGATAGGCAGTCCCCTTCCTATGGACTTTCTAGCTATTTTTTTTCAATATCTTTAGCAGTATTTTGCTTGAATGTGATATTAATAATATTGTTTGATAGTTTCCATATTCTTTGCATCACTTTTCTTGGGAATATAAAAAGATAATGGATCTCTTCCACTTGGCCGAACAGTCAGCTGTCCTCCAAATTTTCTAGCATAGTCTGATGAGCATATCCAGGCAATATTTGTCATCTGAAACATGTCATTTGGTATCCCATCAATTTCTGAGGCCTTATTTCTTTGCCAGTGTATTAATTGAAGCTTGACTATCTTCTTTCCTTATCATTCACTCTTGGTCATATGGTATTTCTGAAATATTTCAATGTCATCAGTCCTTTAGGTACACTGTGTATTTCCTCATCTTCTCTTAATGCTTCTTAGATCATTCAAGGTTTTTCCCATAGCATCCCTATATATTGCAACTGAAGGCTTGAATTTGTTTCTCATTGTTTTTTAGTTTGGAAAATACTGAGTTCATTCTTAGCTTGTTATTCTCTAAGTGTCTGTTTATTTGGTTATAATAGTTTGCTTTGTCTCCTCAAGCTGGCCTTTGAAATCTTCTATTCAGCTCTTTTACTTCACTATCTGCTCCCTTTGTTTTGGCTTCTTGATGTTGTAGTGCAATTTTGAAGGTTTCTTCTGACATTTATTTTGGCTCCCCTGCTCCCCTATCCTCTCTCTTTGTAGAGATCTTAAGTTGATTTATAAATTCAGGTCAGATAGACTCAAGATCATATTTTGGTTCTCATGGAATTGTTTGTTTTCATTTTCTTCCATCTCAATTTGAACTTGCACCAGAAAATGCCTTGATAGATGGTAAAAGTACTGAAGTTATCCAGGAGTTCATTTTACTTGGATCCACAGTCAACAGCTATGACAGCAGCAATCAAGAAAGCAAAAGAAGTGTTTCATTGGTAATATCTGCAGTCGAGGAAGTACTTGATCCAAGCCACAGTATTTTTGGTTGCTTCTTATGCATCTGAACGTAGTACAGTGAATGAATAAAACTAAAAAGAATAGATACCTTTGAATTGTGATGTTGCTGAGAAGTATCGAATATACCTTATCTTGCCAAATGAACAAACAAATCTGTCATGGAGGAAGTACACGGTGCTCCTTAAAAACAGGGATAGTGACTCTTAATCTGAAGATGCTAAGGGCTT